AAAAATAACACCAGATATGTTTACGCAGTTCGGAGAAACTCTCCTAATCTGCGGGGCCCACGTCCGTGTAATAGCCCTCCACTAAATCACTAGATGCAAGTTACACCGGTACATAACAACATGATGAGACACCCTTCTCCGAATTGCTATGACAAAACTTCTAATCTAGGATTTCTAACCCGAACTCTGTTCAGATCCGCTTCGGCTATCACATCTCCACCGAGATCACGAGGACAAACGTGTTGGCAGCCCACTCGATCAGCTCTTGTTCATCTTCTGGACGCCACGATCTGTTTGGCGTTGTAGGACTCCTCCTTCGTGTAGATCGTGACCTTCTTCACGCATGGGAAGCTCCGGGACGCGACGGGAACGCTCTACATCAGCGTGTATTCTCTGTTTTCCCTCTCAATCGCTTCAAGTAATTCCCAGGGACCTGCTGCGTATTTATAGGCTTCTCTCAACACAATCCTAGTAGGAATAGGATAGTAGAAGTTGGCTTGAACTCTACTTCCTTATTCTTGATCCACAAGTAGCCTAAAGAATCGGGATTCCTTCACAAGTACAGCTGGAGTTCTTATCATGTAATCACAATCCCAATAGGTCTCTAATTCAGATTGCAGCTTAAATTCCCGTGCTCAGACCTCTGATCCCGAACTGTGTGTTGCAGCATCGTGCTGTAGCATCTTCTGCGTCAACCTAAAAACCGCAGCAGCTCTAGAAGTCTAAATAAAATAAACCTCTCCTAACAAATAGAGGTTTCTACCTAGTAAAACATCTAACAAATATGGGATTCTATTTTGCCAAAAGATTAGCCAACACTTTGGAACCAACAATTATTACCCCTTTAAGTATATTATATTTATAAATGAAGTGTTAATATCAATTGTAGGATTGATAATTTTAGTCGTCTTATTTTCTCTATCTAAAAATTATATTCTCTTTTTGAACGACGTGCAATATCCCATTATTTTTAATGAATTATTTCTGCTTTGAAGATTTTTTTTAGGTAAAAGAGGTATGGAGTATTAACTATTAAGCCATCAACAAAGAGGGCACAAAATATAGAGGAACATTCTCCCAATCAGGAAGCTGAGACTCAACATGACTTACTAATGAGGGAGCGATAGAATTAAAAAAAAGTTCGAACAAAAGAAATCCATATAAATTGAAAAGTAGACATAGGGTTAGTTTGAGAATAGCGTTTTTTATTAGCGTTAGCATTTTTAATAAAATTTTAACGATGCAGATAATTTCAAAAACGCTAAAGATTACTTGTAAATAGTCTTTTCAAATCGCTAACAGTAACCTATAACGCTATTTTCAACAAGCACATAAAAAAGTGCTCAAACACTAATCTCTAATGTTATTTTTAAATTTCTTTCCACCAAACAAAAGGTTAAGTTAAAATAATTGTGCTTTTACGGTTGGGATTATTTTAGAAGGGAGCGAGTAGAATTAGACGGAGTAATATATTCCTCCCTACATGCATATTGTCATGCGTTGCATACTGATCATATTAACTCCGCGGTAAGGCGTTTTCTTTCACTCTTATAAACAAAGAGAGAGAAAAAAAACTCGCCTGAGAAGTTTTCTTCACTTGAAATTGGTCTGTCGTCGATCGGAGCTCCGATCATGCCTCAGGGAACGCTCGAGGTTACTCTCGTCAACGCCAAAGGCCTTGAGAACACCGATTTTCTGTGTACGTTAATTATAGCTTCATCGCTCGTACATGCCTCTCGTTCAATTTCATTGATCGATCCATTTTCGGTTTCAATTCTGTCCGGCGGAAACTTTCATCCTTGCAATAATACGTGTCTGTGTGTGTGTGAAATTTGAATTGTTTGAATTTTGAGTTTGATGGAGTGAAATTGACGACTGGTATACACACGGATCTTGTTCCCGCCGGCGGAGATGATCGGATCTAATGCCGATCCAGAATATGAGCCGGATCAGATTCCAGTTCTATTTCTGCTGGCTGAATTCCAGATCTATTCACATAAAAAAACGGTTCTCGTGTCCTTGTAATTGAATTTGTCTTTTCGTTTTCGAATGGATTTTTTTGTTGAAATCGTCTGAAATATGCAGCTTAGGTTCAGGTTGATAAATCTTGTGTCGTCCATATTTTTTACTCCAATATTTCTTCTTTTGATTATAAGTACATGTTTAATTGGCGTGATCCGGCCCCAGTTCGTTTGATCTGTTTTGGCTTGATTTTTTATGTATCTGAAAACAGCAAATATGGACCCTTATGCAATCCTGACCTGCCGGACACAAGAGAAGAAAAGCAGCGTTGCATCAGGTTGAATTACTGAACTGTGTCTATACTCTATAGCTAGCCAGCTTTCATCCATTAAACTTAATTGTTGTACATCACTTATGACATCAAAGAAGGAATTCATCAATGAATTTCTTTAATTTCTTGGTGTCAAAGGTGGTATGTAACAAGAATGATCATATATACAGCCTTTTATATGTTCTCTTTAATCTGAAAAATAGTTAGCAAGGAGAGAATGAATGAAGTAATACTCCTTCCAAGCTCATCAAAACTGCAGGTGGTGATGAGTAATTAATGAATTGTAACAAGTAACTAATGAAACACATGGTGCGCGCAGGTAAAGGATCTGATCCTGAATGGAACGAGACTTTCATGTTCAACGTTTCCGAAGGAGTTACAGAGCTCCATATCAAATTAATGGACAGTGACAATCTCTCCAATGATGATTTTGTTGGAGAAGCAAAGTAAGTATTTGGCCTACTTCTTGAACATGGATTCACTAGTTAATACTCGAAATTAAGCTCTCATTTTCATAGAAGTTAAAATGTGAATGAGAAAAAGCTCTTCAACACTGATCAATCTATGCATTTGCTATGACCGATCTCTGGATCAAAGTTTAAGTTTTCCTGATGAGGCCTTGCATGTTTTTCTTGTGTCTTTGTTATGATGGACCTCAAAAAGAATCTCTTTAGAGCCTGTGTTTTGTGAAAGGAGCATTCCACAACAAGCATACAATGTTGTTAAAGATGGTAGTTTTTGCGGGGAAATCCGAGTTGCTCTCACTTTCAATCCAGAGGTAATAATATATATACATGTTGATCGAAAACCGGATTGATTTTTTGTCATAGTAATATATAAATACTGTGTCATTTATGCTCTACTACTGATCGGGCAAGAGTACCTCCTAACTTGGCTCTGGAAAAAAACAGATGCGTAGGGGATATGAAGCAGAGGAGAGCTATGGTGGTTGGAAAGAATCTTCCAGAGACTACTGATACTATGCTCATTTTTATTTATACTCCGTGTTACTCATTTGGTATAACAATTGCGGAGTAGTAATAAACTTGAAAAGTTTCTTTACTTTAAAAGTTTCTTTGCCAAATGATTGATATTTGCTTCTAATTGATGAGCTTTTGAAAAGGTGTTGGAGATTTATGTTAGCTACTCCTTAGACTCAAACATGAAAAGTTGAAGAAACATGCTTAGGGTACACAAAATTTGTATCCTAAATGTACACCATGCATTTTGTTACTATACATTTTTATTAATTTTTTCTTTTTTCTTTTACATGCATAAGTGCGTGGTATTGGGGCACTTGGGATGCACTTTTGGTAAGCCTGTAGCATTTTCCAAAGTTGAATGGACATAGTGTTCAACTTTTGATATACTTCGTGTAAAAAATTTTTATATTTCCTCTCTCCTGCCAAAAAAATTACATTTCCTTTTTTTTTGTTTAAAAAAAGTTCTACTTTCTATTTATCAAAAAATGTGATTTATATTATTTCTCACATTTGCATCACTCTTAGATTGAATTCGAAAACGAGCTAGAATTCCAGTTGTTTTTTAGTCCAAGTTGTAAGCAAGCCTATAAATCTCATAAAATATATTGACCTATTTTTTAAATATGCAAGTTATATACCTATTCTCGAGCACATAAAATGTGCAAACTTAACAATAACCCGAGAGACAAAAGAATTTTAAATTTAGATCTTCTATTATGATGTCTTAGAGATTTAAATATTATTTTTCTGTAAGTTAAGGAGTATAAAAATTTAAAGTACTAGAGCTCGTTTAGTAAGTTTTGGATAGTTGAAATATATGTATTCTGAAATTTGATTAACTAATATTAGTTCTAAAATTTGGATTTGAAAGAGTTTGAAAAGATCTAAATAATTATTGTTAATGATAGACAAGAATTTTGGAAAGTTAAATATATGTATTTTGAAATTTAAAAAGTTGATATCAGTTTTAAAATCAAGAGTGAAAGTGTTTGAAAAGATTTAAATGATTATTGTTACTGATAGGCAGTATAGCCGTCAATCGGGGTGGTTAGTGGACGATGATTGTGAGAACGACGACAAGGGTAGTTGACAATTGAGTATTATCAAATCACACATTGTTTGACATCAAAATACTTGTGCTAAATATTACTCATTCCGTCCAAAAAAACTCTCAGTTTGACTTAACACAAAATTTTTAAAAAATGAAAATAGTATGTGATTAAGACTGATGGGGACAAATATCTTTTTTGGCACGTCTCACAAAAACAAATAAAGAGTTTTTTTCAAGGAGGGAGTTGTCTACTTTGGAGGGTATTTCGAAAATGCCCGTTGAACAACGGTGGGACTTCAAACTTGGTCCATTATTTGAACAATTGGTTTTGAAATGCTTTTGAAGTACAATTGGCTTCCGAGTCTAAAATATGAGAGCGAAACCCTAACCGTCCCGGCAACTTCAATCTCCTCCGTCACATTGCAGAAATGGCATCCGAAACGCAAAATTACAAGCAAAGACCACTAAATCAGCCCCCGCCTCCGACGGCGCCCAGAAAGAAGTGGTCGATCGACGATTTCGAGATCGGGAAACCCCTCGGAAGGGGCAAATTCGGCCGGGTCTACCTTGTCCGTGAAGTCCAGGTGATCTAATGTAAACCTCTGAATCGTTTCAGTTTTCCTTAAATCTACATTTCTGGAACTCGAGATTCGGTTTTGCAGAGCAAAGTGATTGTGGCGTTGAAGGTGATTTTCAAAGAGCAGATAGAGAAGTACAAGCTGCACCATCAGCTCAGGAGAGAGATGGAGATCCAGAGCAGTCTCAGTCACCCAAATATCTTGAGACTCTACGGCTGGTTTCATGACGACGAGAGGATTTTCCTGATTCTGGAGTATGCTCATGGAGGGGAACTCTATAAAGAACTCCGTAAATGCGGCAGATTCTCAGAAGTTCAAGCCGCCACTGTATCTTCTCTCTTGCTCTTTCACATCTAATTTGTGCTTGTGTTTATTTCGTTAGGTTTATTGTTAACACTACCTATTGTCAGTATAAAATTTCTATGGGTATCAATATCTATTGCTTTTCAACTGGATGGATACAAAAAGTATATGACCACATCTATCTCGTGACAGTAAGCCAAGCCAGTGCTTTGTGATGTGTAATGGTATTTGTTTCTTGTGTTTTTCAGTACATTGCAAGCCTTGCGCAGGCACTGGCTTATTGTCACAAGAAAGATGTGATTCACAGGGACATAAAGCCGGAGAACCTTTTACTGGACCATGAGGTAACTTTATTATGCCTTTCTAGTTTATTGGTAAAAATGTGGATGTGTTAGTTTTAATTTGTATTACTCTATGCATTCCAAAAGGTATCCCATTAAGTTGTGATCATGGTTTTGTTGTTCTTTGAATTGTTTCCGTTGGAAGAGAAGAACTTTAAGATGATTGAAAACAGAAAAGTCCATTCTGTAGCAAAATTTCACTCCATCTTTTATATGGTTTCAAGTTTATAACTCATTAACTATGATTATTGGGTTGACGCCCTTGGCTATTTGTACGCTTCTTAACATTAGATTTATTCATCTGCACACTTAAGTGTTCTGACCCAAAAGTTTAATCAGTTGGAAGGAGACTTAAGGATTTAGTACAATAGTACCCTAGCCCCATATGATTTCTAGTATTCCCTATGCTTTAGCAATCTTAGTGCAATCTATTGATTGCTTCCCGCTTTTAAAATTGAAAGGAAAAAAATCAGGCAATATAAGTTTCTTGCCATGCAAAGTTGCGATCTACTTTTACTGTTTACATGCTCTTCTACATGAGATAATTGCCTTGTACTCTGTATATTTCAACTTGGCACTGAGGTAACGTGTGGATTCTTAATCTAGGGTCGATTGAAGATTGGGGACTTTGGGTGGTCAGTGCAATCCAGAAGCAAGAGACACACAATGTGTGGGACGTTGGACTACTTGGCACCCGAAATGGTGGAGAACAAAGCTCATGATTATGCAGTTGATAACTGGACTCTGGGCGTTCTTTGCTATGAGTTCTTGTATGGTATGCCTCCGTTTGAGGCTGAAACCCAGAAGGATACATTTAGAAGGTAATATTAAAGATCTTGCATGTTATATATCTCGACTAAATTTTGTAACAAGATTATGCATAATGCAAAGATAAGTAAATGTGATGTAGGATAATGAAGGTTGACCTCAACTTCCCCTCCACCATTTATGTCTCTTCACAAGCAAAGGACCTCATTAGTCGGGTAAGTGCGTTGATTGATGTGTTCTCATAAAGTTTTAAAGCTCCATTCTTCTTTTGGAATAATCACAACAATAATAAAGATACAATATATTGTGTGGGAGTTAGCTTCTTGTGAAGGACTCTTCAAAAAGGCTGTCTCTTCAGAAGATCATGGAACATCCTTGGATTGCAAAGAATGCTAACCCCAAGGGAGCCTGCTGGAGCTGAAGTTTTTTTTTGTTCCTCCAAGCAGTAGATGAGACTGGTTCTTTTATGGCACAACCACACAAGAGGGGATTTGTTGAATGCATATATGTCCATACATTGCCCTTCTTTTTCCTCTTGTATTATTACTTGGCTTCTGTTGCATTTCTTTAATTGTTCCTCGCCAAAATTTGTATAAATGTCTTGTACAACATGTACTCATTGTGCTCGATTATTCTGTTGCATTTTCTAATTGTATTGCAAATCACAAGGCCAAACTCTAAATTTTATTTTAGGGGCTAAAATGGGTTTTGACATCTCAAATATGAATGTCTTATACTCCCTCCGTCCCTAAATAAAGTTCTATTTTTGACTTTTTGAGGATTTAAGGGAGGGATATTTTTGTGTTGACTTTCCAAAAATACTCTTGATGTGATGTGTAAAAGTAAGATGTGATAGGTAGATTATTAGTAAAAAAGTATGATGTGATAGGTAGGGTATGAAAAAGTAAGGGGTAAAAGGGGTTTTTAAAGGAAAAAAGAAGTTTTTTTAGAGACAAAGAAAAAACGAAAAAGGAATTTTATTTAGGGACGGAGGGAGTATAATTCACCCACATCTCTCATTTAACCCAAATCCACATTTAGGCTCAGTTTCTCTAAGGGCTTATTTGGTAAAAAACTCGGATATGATTTCGATATCTTAGATATCAAATTTCAAAAAAAGTTTTTTGATGAGAATAAAATGAGATATGATTAATATCTCTAGATATGCTCCATATCCGAAAAGTGCCTCAACTTTATATCAGCTTATCTTTGCTGATTATGGATCGGCTTGAAAAATGCAATTCCCTTAAATTTAACATTATTCGTATATAATACGGAGTACTCCGTATATAACTAGAATTTATTTTTAGGACAAATGAATTTTTTTAAAAAGGGAGAACGACCAAAGTAGGACTAAAACATTGAAAATATACCAAAATAGGACTTCTATGTTTTTAATCCCAAAATAGCACTTATTTTACCAAACATGGTCATATACATTACCAAAAAAGTATAGTAATGTGCACATGTACACTGCCACTTTACCACAGTGCAAAGTTACATTACCACAATGCAAAGTCCTATTTTGGAAAAAAACATGGAAGTTCTATTTTAATACTTTTCTCTATGTTTTAGTCATATTTAGAGTGATTTCTATTAAAAATATTGTCACATTACATCAATTTTATAATCTACAAAATTTAATTATTACGGAGTATTCTATATATTACTATTATTATAACAGTAGTTATATAAATGAAAAGCATGCCTAAATATATGTTTAGTCATTGTTAAGAAAAATTAAAAGTAATTAGAAAAAATAGAAAATTAGAATAAAGTCGAAGAAATTGGTAAAAAAATGGACGAAATTGAAAATTAGAAGTAATTAGAAAAAAAAGAAAATTGGAATAAAGTAGATGAAATTGGTAAAAAAATGGACGTAATTGAAAATTTAGATGAAGTTAGAAAAAATGGAAAATAGTTTGGACATTTGTTAGGAATGGTGGGGGACGGTGGCAAAGAAAAGTAGGTGAAATGTATGCAGTAAGTGAGAAATTTAAATAAATAAAAAAAAGTGGCTCCGTCCAGGCTAACCAAGATGTTGATTTTAAGATAAGACAGTTATTAGTCCATTATAGACGCGTTCGAGGCTTCGACCTACTACAAAAAAATGAAAAAACAACTATGGCGTCGCCCGGGTTTGAACCGGAGACCTTCAGTGTGTTAGACTGACGTGATAACCAACTACACCACGACACCTCTTTGGTCATCAACTTAACAATTAGATAAATAAACAAATACTAAAGCACGGATAATGAGGGACTAAATAAATTGCTGAGTAAAGCTATGACATTAACAAACATTCCAAACTCTATTGCAATTTATTGATTTTACAAGCAAACAGCATTGCATGTTCATCCAATAAACATAGAAACCAAGTCTCATAAATGACTTTAGTAGAAGCAAAAACTTTTCTCCAAAATAAAGTTGTTGATTGTCTTGCAACAACACACAAAAAAATTCAACAAAAAGGACGTTAGCGAACGATGATCAGTTCATTCACAGGTAGATGAAATCAATGAACGAAGGACATCATCGTTGTTTCATCGTCATGTAATGATATTGCCCTGAAAACTTTTCTCCTACCACATTAGCATTTCACTAATTTTTCTGCCTCGCCCCAAAGTCATGTAATGATATTGCCCTGAAAACTTGTCTCTCCATTTTTTTACATTATTCTTTATTTTTATTTATAATTTATAAAAAAAGACATGTAATTAAAATAAAAATCATAAGATTGACACTCTTTGATAAAACATTGATATAAAAGATGAAATACACCAAAGCATGAATAAAATTAAAAATCGAAAAACATAAAAATAAGATGAAATTCTTAAAATTAATGTTACAATTAAGTATTGTTGCGCCCTCATATTTCCTCAATCAAACCATCTTAGAGGGTAGCATAGTTTCGTTCATCTCGCACACTTACACGTCGATTTACAAAATCTTATAATTCGCGAGGTGACCTTTGAATCGCTGGGCCTTGATGAATGGTGTGCCTGGAAGTGGATGTGACCCTCTCATCTACAGACTGAGTGATGTTGGCTCACAGGCGTGCGGGGCCTTTCACTATCGCCCACCGCGATTGGAGGACTCTAGAGACATGTTCCACATTTTTCCGTGCAGACTATTGTTTCTACGTAAACAATGCCCTCTTTGGATTTATAATATACGGAGTACATGATAATTTTCACAAACACTGACCAATGTGGATAGATCCCATCCGCCAAATAATATCTCATGTTATATTTTGACAATTGGCAGTGAATTGCACCACTGATGCACGTCCAACGCAAACATTGTTGAATAAAGGAGAACCATTCAACACATTCGGATCGTTGTTCGATCTGGTGACTCTAAAGTACGCATGCCAATTCCACATACGATGGTTGGCAACAGCCTTGAGCATAATCGTCGCGGTGTGAGCCCTTGTAACTGCTTGTGAATGCACCCTTCCATGCCACGGGACAATTTTTCCACTCCCAATGCATCAAGTCCACGCTACCAATCATCCTTAGAAACTTGTGAATCTCCTCGTTTATATTGACTAACATTTGAATGTCTTGGACTGTCGTATTTCGCAAGTATCATTGAAAGCTTCAATGACACCTCGACAAAAACGTTGCAAGCATTCTCAGCCAGTAGAGTCCTGATTGTGCACAGGTGTCGTATGCGAGCTGCCTAATCGCGATTGTGCATTTCTATAGAGTGGATAGTCCTAGCTGACCAGAGCTATCTAAAAGGTGTTGGAAATAGACATCACGAGCTTTGAGTGCTTCCATGATCCGAACGAATAATACTCGACGCATTCGGAATTGCCAACAGAACTATTCAAAAAAAACGCGAAATGTCAGAAAAATAATCTTCAAACAAACGGGTAACGGCCTGCCCACGTTCCCGAAAAATGTATACCCGCGTACATGGAATGGAGGGAGTAGCTACCACCGCAACTTTGCGTTGCATCTCCGTTTGGATGTAAGGCATATACTCATCGTACGCTGCAATTAACATATCCACAACCTTGTCATCTGTTGGAGGAAGAGCCATTTTTTTATTTTGAGAGAGATGAAGGGAAATTAAGAAAATAAGTAAATTGAGAGAATACTCATGGTATGCCGCAATTAGCACATCCACGACCTCATCATCTGTTTGAGGATGAACCATTTTTTATTTGAGAGAGATGAAGAGAAATTAAGAAACTAGTTAAATTGAGAGAGATGAGATTGGATGGATTGAAGTGGAAGATGTGTTGAATTTATAGGGTTGAAAGAAAAAAAATCCCAGTCCGCCGCAAAATTTAGCCGCAAATCGAGCGCGACTTTGCACCGCGGTTGGGGCGAAAGCCATTGTGTGCTACGCAACAGAACTCTTGCAGCGGCGGGCGAGTCATGATTTTGGCTTGGAATCCGTGCGGCGCGGCGGATGTGCAGTCGTTGCAAATGCCCTAAAAAATAACTTTTTATTATTAAAATCCACTTTTTTAATTATTAAAATCAACATTGAAGTTCAAATTAGGGTGCCTAAACCTAAACGTATTTCTTTCAAGCATCATTCCCGAGAACTCCTCAGACTCAGCCGAACAATCACTAAAAAGGGAAATTAAATTTTTATCTCAGATTGATGATAGAGAATATATAAAGTCAGGATCCACAATTCTAACCCAAAAGCTTATGCTGATGGGTAGGACTTCACCCTTCAATATATGCAAGTGATACTTATTTTTATTTTCTGATGTGGGAACTCCAACATTAATCGTCTAGTCTTGAGAGTCATTATCTCTAACAAGTAACAACTCCACAACCTCATTCACAAACTTTTTTTTCTTTCTCAAAACGAGTATGCATGTGTTAGAATATAAATAACTGTTCCTGGGCCAAAACCACAAGCTTGAGCTTTTGGTTGAGTTGGTTCCTTGACATGGTATCAGAGTCTCGTTGACTAAGAGATCACGGGTTCGAAACTCAGCGCCACCCAGTTAAAAAAAATTAAGGTTTCACGTGCAAGGCTTGAAAAAAACTATGCCTGCACGTGAGGGGGCATGTTAGAATATAAATAACTATTCCTGGGCCAAAACTACAAGCTTGAGCTTTTGGTTGCCTGCACGTGAGGGGGCATGTTAGAATATAAATAACTATTCCTGGGCCAAAACTACAAGCTTGAGCTTTTGGTTGAGTTGGTTCCTTACAGCATGCTATAATTCAAGATTGAATTTAAAAGAGCATCCGAATGCCGACAGTTTCGGATCTCCAGCTGTGACCCAAAAAGCATAACCAAGCACCGACTGCGGTTAACGTAACCAACCATGGTCAATCTCCCCAACCACAATTAATAACCTCCTACCTTCCCTCAATCCAATCCCCCGTCTTCTTCTTCTTCTTCTTTGTGACTCTGAGATTCAGTCAGGATTTGGTTTCACTTTACTTTACTTCACCATGGGTGCACTCCATATTCTCCTCCTCACAGCCACCGTGCTTTCCATTTCCTCCGCCGTCACCACCGCCCACAACATCACTGACATTCTCGCGTCCCACCCGGAGTACAGCGAGTTCAACCGCTACCTCTCGCAGACCAAGCTCGCCGACGAGATCAACTCCAGAACCACCATCACCGTTCTGGTGGTCAACAATGGCGCCTTCTCCGCCATTACCGCCAAACACCCACTCTCCGTTGTCAAGAACATCCTCGAACTCCACGTCTTGCTTGACTACTGGGACGGCAAAAAGCTCCACGACATCTCCGACGGCACCACTATGTCCACCACGTTGTACCAGACCACCGGAAATGCCCCCGGAATATCCGGCACCGTCAACATCACGGATCAGAAAGGGGGGAAGGTTGGATTCGGATCTGCCCTTCCCGGGTCGCATCTGGATTCTCAGTACAGCAAGGAGGTTAAGAGCATCCCTTACAATATATCTGTGATTGAGATCAATACGCCGATCATTGTCCCGGCGGTGTTGAATGCTCCGGCTCCGGCGGCGTCTGATTTCAACATCACCGCCGCCCTTGAAAAAGCTGGGTGCAAGACTTTCGCCGGGCTGCTGGTCTCTTCCGGGGTGCTCAAGAACTTTGAGAAGGCGGCGGGTGAAGGGCTGACCGTGTTTGCGCCCAACGACGAGGCTTTCAAGGCGGAGAAGTTGCCGGATCTGAGTAAGCTCGACAATGCCGATCTGGTCGCACTTCTTCAGTATCACGCCGTCGCGGATTACACTCCTATGGGGACGTTGAAGACATCCAGAGATCCGATTTCCACTCTTGCCACTAACGGCGCCGGAAAGTACAAGCTGAAGACGGAGACGGCCGGAGACTCCGTTACTATCGATACCGGCGTGGATTCGTCCAAAGTCGCGTCCACGGTGATAGATTCGACGCCGCTCTGTATTTTCACGGTAGACAATGTGCTTCTCCCAGCCGAGCTCTTCGGCAAGGCTCCTTCTTCGGCTCCGGCTCCAGCGCCGGAGTTTTCCCCTGCCCCAGCCCCAGCCCCTGAAGTTGCAGACGCACCAAGCCCGTCGTTGGAAGAGGCGCCTGCGCCATCTCCCCCGGCTCCTCCGTCGCCGTCACCGGCCAGCGGCACTCCCGCGGAAAGCCCAAGTGATGATTCGCAGAACAGCACGGCCGACAAGAACGCCGGTAGGGTCGACGCTCCGTCATTGGTCACCCTGGTCACAGTGTCATTGCAGTTATTTGCATGCATTTACCTTTTCTAGTTTTTTGGATTTGTATGATACTGTAATTTGTTTGCTTCATTTATTTTTTGTTCCTTTTTCTTTTTTTTAATTGTGTGAGTTGGATAATTTGGATTGGATCTGCAGAAACGGTTTTTCACATGTAGGAGTACAATTTCTTTTGAGTTTATTTATTTACGGAGTATTTAATTTCCCTTATTTATTTCAATGGTTTATTGAATGAAATCTATACTTATGTGCATTAATATGATAATCCCTATTGACTCCCCTATTTATTTCAATGATTTACTGAATAATAAAATATAAAAAATGTTAGTAAATTTTATTAGTTTGTTTTTCTAACTCCACCATTACTCGAATCATTATTAATGTGAGTATTACTAATAAACCTTCTAAACAAATGGAGTAAGCATTTCAAATCATATGCTCTTTATTCTCTACATCTTATAATTTTCATTTTTTTTAAAATTAAAACTGATTTCATATCCGAAGGCTCTCTCAAAATCGGTTAAAAAATAAAATTTTTCTTGATTTGAACAATGTGTAAAATTTTATTTAATTTAAAACAATTTAATTAACTTATAGATAAAAGTAATATGTATACTCTACAAATTAAAAAATTACTTGAAAAGTTTAACTTGAAAAACTAATACTCCCTCTGTCCACCATAAATCTTTCCAGACACTATTCACAGTGTCAAACTTTACTCACTTTGTTTGCTCAATTTTACTAGTCATTTCATAAAATAATATAGTCTTGTCACCTCTAGTTTTGTAGAATTTTTCATGTAGTTTATTACTATATAAATTTTATTTTAAAATTTTACTCCTATAATCAATTAAATTGAATTGAAAATAAAGTCAGTCACGCCTCGTAACGCGTAATGGGAAGATCATACATGGACGGATGGAATATAAAATTGTATGAATATAGAATAATGTCACAATCAAGAACGTGGCCGGGATAATACTTTACTTTGGTTTGTTCCATCCAACCCAGTATAGCGCAACCCACTAAGGCTCCGTTCCGTTCAACTTATTTTTTCTGATCTGATCTGATTCTAATAAGTTCTGATCTGATCTGATTGGATCTGATCTGATCTGATCTGATTGGATCTGATCTGATCTGATTGAATCTGATCTGATCTAATTGGATCTGATCTGATCTGATTGGATCTGATCTGATCTGATTGGATCTGATCTGATCTGATTGGATCTGATCTGATCTGATTAATTATGATTTAATTTAAAATTTTAAATCAATAATTTAATTTGACTTAATAATAACGTTTGAAAATTGTAATGATAATTCATATTATAATATAATCAACATTTTTTATTTAATGATTATTTTTTAATAAAATAAAATAGTCAATTCATATATTAGAATAATCATTCATATTATAATGTAATAATATTTTTATTTTATGATTATTTTTTTGTAAAATTAGAATTATACATTAGAATAAATATTTAATTTAGATATACATTAAAAAATAATTAAATTTTGATAATCAATATATAGAAGAGATAATATTTTTATTAAAATATCTCATCCTTATAAAAGATCAAAAGTTTAGAAACTCAAATTACAAGTAGCAATAAAAATATATTTTAAAAGTAGAATTAGATTGACAATGTAATAATGATGATGATGATGATGATAATAATAATGATAATGATAATGATAATAATAATAATAATAATAATAATAATAATAATAATAATAATTCTTGATGAGATCTGATTTTAATAAGTCCTGATCTGATCTGATATGATTGGATCTGATCTGATTGGATCTGATCTGATCTGATTGGATCTGATCTGATCTGATTAAATCTGATTTGATCTGATTGGATCTGATCTGATCTGGTCTGATCTGATCTGATCTGATCTGATCTGGTCTGATCTGATCTGATTTTAATAAGAATAAGAAAAAATAAAAAAAAATAAGTTGAACGGAACGGGGCCTAAGTTGCAGACAAAAGCAGCCAGCCAACTCAAATGCATAATAATGAATGGATGGATAATGGATTATGGACTATATATGTTTAAACACTACAAGCCAGCCCACACTTATTTTTATAAGAAACCCCAACGCCACAATCCCCATTTCCTTAGTGTCCTCTAAGACCCGTTTAAACTGTAACTGAAATGAGGTAAATTAAATTTTAATTGTAAATTAGTAATAAAGAGTAAAGTCTACACTTAGTATTTACAAAGATTCTATGATTAACATAGTAGTCTCTCAGTGCAATTGCCATAAATAAAACTCGGGTCTTGCGCCGTTGGCACTCCTTGCTTTTGCCAACTCCCAGAACCCATTCATTTTTAATCACTTTGCTTGTTTTTCTTCTTAATTTTATATAATACACAGTAATATTATTATGCAATTTATTGATTCATATATTTTTTATCTGGCTTTTAAATACTTCTTCCATTCATAAAAAGATTCTTTATTTCTTTTTTCAAACTTCCTAAAAAATTTCTTGTTTTTTCTTCTTATTTTTATATAATACGCAATAATATTAGAGGAATTTCCGTAAATAGTACTAAAACATAATGACTTTCTCTAAATAGCACTACATGTGTTTTTTTCCCAATGTAGCACTTTTAGTCATTATCCATTAGTCATTATTCAAGTAAATGTTTGCCATCACAAGTCATTATAGACACTATTAAGTGTTATTTAGAAAATAAAATAATTTAAGTTTTATTTAGAAAAATGACTTAAATTTTAGTGTTATTTAGTGCAAATATTTCATAATATTATTATGCTAGCTATTGATTCATAGATTTTTTTTCTGACTTTTAAATACTTCTTCCATTCATAAAAAGATTCTTTATCTCTTTTTTCAGACTTCTTAAAAATTGGTACCTCTTTGTTTTTTTGGGACAAACTAAGTGTGTGTTTGTGATTTATGAATAGTTTTAGTAAAATATAACAAATAAATTAAATGGGACAAAAAGAGTAAAAATAAATATATTTCCTACACAAGTAGGAGTATTTGTGCAAAAATTTATTTTTATACGAGTTCAGTATCATCGTGTTTAGATAAATATTTACACTATTATTCCAAAAATTCACATACTCCATATTTTTATGATATTGGCTTTGTTTGGGAACGATGTTTGAAATAAAAATCTTAAATGCGTAAACTAATTTTAAAACATTAACTCTAATATTATTTTCCAGCACCTCAATTGCAACATTCATTCTTATTTTATAATGTAAGAACTTTTCTTTTTTGACCCTTAATTAGAGCCTGTGTAGGAATAACGTTAGAGATTAGCGTTAACGTTTTGGATAAAATTTTAAAGGTATAGATTACTTTAAAAACGTTAACGCTAAATGCTGACCGTAGATAGCATTTTCAAAACACTGACACTAATCTCTAACGCTATTTCCAAACAAGTCCTTAATTGCGTTCCAGCAAGAATAAGTAATCAAAGAATAAATTGAAAAACCGGCCCAACTCAAAAGTTACTACGGCCCAACTAATTCTTGCAAATACTGAGAATTCCGTTTCTGCTTTTCAAATTTCAACTACTGTTTCCTCCTCAGAACTCAGAAGAAAAAATCAACTTCGGAAACATTTTTCCAGTCCATCCATCTGCCTCTCCGTCGAACTCGGAGCGGAGCGGATGACGACGGAAACTCCTCCCTACACTCACCGGAGCCGTTCCATTTTCGAACTTCCGGCGGACTTCTTCGATTCGTGTCGCCTCCTTCAGACTCCATTTGCGTCCCCACTCCCGATCGCTGAAGAGAAGTTAGGGAGGGAGGAGCCGGCAACCGAAACCACCACCACCGCCACCAGCAGCACCAGTAATGTTATGCGAAGATGGTCTTGCAATGCCTGCAAAGCTGAATTCGAGTCACTGCAAGACCAGCGCTCTCATTTCAAGTCCGATATTCATCGTCTTAACGTAAGTTTGTCTTTCTATGTTCTCCAATTGTCTTCCCATGATTCTTTCGAGTTCAATCAGTTTTCTAATTGAAGTTTTGAGACTAGATTTTGCTCTTTCCCTGGCGGTTTCCCCCCAAAAAAAGCAATTTGAAGCTGTCATTAGCAGTGAGAAGTAGTGGTTTTAGGGTATTACCTGTAACTTTAAAAATTAAAGAATTTTTATTTCTTCTGGGTTGAATGCGTAGCAGACACCTCGAATTATTCATAGCAGCCGTTTTTTCTTAAATCAAGGGAATAGATTTGTGCCATTCTGCCATTCACAACTTGCAGCCACTTCATATTATTCATTAGGGATTGATTGATGTCGCCAAAAATTAGCCCGGTCTCACAAATACATCAGACTTTGGGCATAATAATTAGCCAGTTGAAATTGTTGTTTTGAAATATAACATCCGGTGTTTAGACAAGGTAAATATTCCATATATGTGTGGAAAAGAAACATGTTTTTGCCAAGTAGTCTAGTCCAAAAAGCTATTGTTGTGATTTTTTATTTGGTTTCTGTTCCCCATGGAAGTGAGATTTGTATCTTTTAAATTGTTATTGCATTAGGTCTGTAATTTTCAAGTTACTATTGGTATCAGATAAAACTAAGTATTGCTGGAAAGGACACGATAAGGGAAGAAGATTTTGATGATGTCACCCCAGATTCATTATGCAAGGATTATGACATCTCAAGTATATCAGCATCCGATGATGATGATGACAGAGAAACAGTTCTGCGTAATGACTTTTATCCTGGACTGCCCGGAATTTTGAAAAACAAACTGTTCATACAATTGCAGACTGGAGAGATAGTTTCACTGTGGAAATCTTTACTCTTGAAGGAGTCGGATCACATTTTATTTGAGAATGTTAAACCGTTTGCCACAAATGAGAATGATGCAACGATTATGCTATACTTGAGGGAAAGGGAAGTTATTGAAAAGCTAAAGTATTTAATCCACAAATCAAGGGATAATGCCCCGATAAGGATTGTGTTGCTTGCAAGAGGTGGGCACTTTGCAGGTTGTGTCTTTGATGGTAGTTCTGTATTGGCACATAAAACATTTCACAGGTTTGAGATTTTCCTTCAACTAGATTCTAATTCGTTAGTGCTTATATTTTTCTTGTTTCAATTATAATCAACAACCATAGTTTCTCTAGTTTTTGATGAGATGATCACAAAGAAATTCCATATTATGTCAAAGCTTCAAGGTTGTTCTATTTTTTCAAGTTTTTTTACAGTGAAATTTAAATTAGTGTATGTCTAATTATCCACCTTTAAATGGGAAACTGCTATTCATGCAGTTTGCCAATTATAGATCCATCATAGCATGGATTCAAAAATTTGCTTAGTATCTTCGGGAAAAATATATAGAAAACATTCAAACATGTGCAATTAACTCTCAGTTGGAAGGTAAAATCATTTGAACTTGTATCAATTATGGAACTATTAATGCTTTTATTTCATACTCCCTCTGTAATTTATCTTCACACGTTGCCTTTTCGTCTGTTCCAAAATCATGACACATTTCCTTTTGCTCTAAAAAGAATTTAAATATGTAATCTGTTTTCAAATGGAGAAGATGGTGCGTCTATGTCTTTTATGTTACTTATAATTTATAAAGAAGGCTCCTTTCTTTTTTACGGAGTATTTGTTTTCATTAGACTTGGTCATGATATGAAAGCTTCTAAGTTTATTTGTTCAGTGGTCTCTATAAAACTCTTCACAAGCTGGTAATATTACCATCTCCGTATTATGGGGAAAGCAATATGTTTATTTCAACTTGCATTCGTATTTGTCGCATTGAAAACAGCAGGTATTAGTATATGACCCCTCTATTTTTAGGTATGTTATCCGAGCCAAAGCTGGTAAAAAGCAATCATCAAAGGATGCAAGTGGGAAGATTGCTCACTCTGCTGGAGCATCACTTCGTCGGCATAATGAACTTGCTTTAAAAAAGGTGACTCTGATTACAATCAACGAAACACTTTGTGCCCTCCTCCCCTCCACTCCCTGCTCCCCCTATTTGAAAAGCTGACATTCATATTTGATTCATTATCAGGAAATTCAAGAATTGCTGACTTCGTGGAAGCCTTACTTTACCATGTCATCTTGTGTTTTTGTGCATGCTCCTTCAGACAATCGTCAACTTTTCTTTGATGGGAACATACCCTATTTTGCATGTCAGCATAATGCCATTAGGAGTGTTCCTTTGACAGTTCGAAGACCTACCTTTAAGGAGGCTCGACGAATATATAACTTATTGACTCAAATTACCTTTGAGGTTAATGAGGAGGCTTACTCTAATACAGAAGAAGGCTCACTCTTAAGTAAAACCCTTTGTGAGCATGGCTATCCCGAGCTCATTAAAGAAGCAGGACAAAATTCTGAGAATAAGGAGATCATTGATCAATCTATTATTACTGGCACAAAGTTTGATGGAGCCAACTTATCAAGTGATAGTGGAGGTGAAAGTGAAAATGACATCGACGGCGTTACAACACCTTTACATGAAGCGGCTAAGTCTGGGAACGTTAAAGAGGTTTTGGAACTTCTAGAACAGGGTATGGATCCATGCATAAAAAATGAGAGAGGCCGAACTCCGTATATGGTTGCCACAGTGAAAGAAGTAAGAAATACTTTTAGACGTTTCATGGCATCAAACCCTGATAAGTGGGACTGGAGTGCTGCAAAGGTGCCTAGTGCATTGACAAAAGAAATGGAGGAATCTCAAGCAGCTAAACAGGTAGTTTTTATGTTGCATAAATTCTTGATGTGGAACCGAGGGGATGCCCATTTTTTTAAAACATAAGTGTTCCATCGCTTCCAAATAAAAGTATGGGTTGTACTAATGTTTTTAGCATTATAAACAAGACACTTTGTTTTGGGATGGAGGTAGCTAGTAATGTTGTATCCTATCAAATAGTTAATGCTTCCAGAGGATTATTTTGTGCAGCAGATTTAACTTCAAAAACCAGCTCCTTTAAATTTATTTTCACTTTGCATGAGAATATAAGTATTGTTAGCAAATACACTGTTTATTTATCCACTAAAAAAGACTTAGGGGGAATGTGGGATTCTATGCCTTCTCAGCTTCTACTGTTAAGATTTTAGAAGCTTGAATGCACACAATTGCTTTGAGGTTTGATATATCATATAATTTACATTTCTTAGGCAGAGAAAGATGCCAAGAAAAAAGCAAGGGCAAAAGAACATAAGAAACTGCGAAAAGCAAAACAAAAGAAGGCTCAGGTTTGGATTTCTTTTTTCTAACTTCTGACTCCCAAGCCCCAATGTTTTCTTATCTGAAGTCTCAAAAAAGCTGCTATCTAGAATGCCCTTGAAACATAGAATTGATGTTTGTGATTGCCTGCCGTTAATCTGCAGGCTGAGGCCAATGAAGCACATATTGCTTCAATCAAGTCGGAGGGCCAATCACCTGCTCTCGTTAATGCTCCCAGTGGTTCATCTCAATCTAGCCTTCCAATAAAATTGTCTAAAGAGGTTAGTCATATGCATCCCAACACATATATGAACTTCTTAAGGTCTGATTGAATGGATTTTTTTTGGGATAGGAAGGCTTTGAATGACTTAATCGATATTGGAGTATTTGATAAACAGAATGTTCCTAAAAATAATTAAAAGACAATTGAAATATCATACTATACCATATCGTTGGTAACCTTTCGTTTTTCAGTAAACCGCGTGCACATATGTTTGTGTGAGTGATGGTCATCAAGGCCTAAGACATATATGGATTGTGCTGTTTAGTAGTACTCCGTATCATACATACTAAGCCATTTTCCAAGATCCACCATCCAAATTCCAAACACACTCTTATTGAACTTTTAGAAATCTCCCGGCTCATGTTTCTGGCACAACGCCTATGATCAGAGAAGTGTATTGAGGTCCCCATGTTATGATCTTTCGCTCTCACTCTTCCCACTTTGTTGCTCTCCTATGTAAACTTAATTACAATTATGATTATGATTAGGAGGAGCTGAAAAGGGCTCAAGATGCCGAAAGGGAAAAGAGAGCGGCTGCAGCTGAGAGAAGAATGGCGGCGGCAGCAGCAGCAGCAGCAGCAGCAGATGTCAGGTCTCAAAGCACACTGGGAACAGAGATCTTATGTTGTTGCTGCAACGTTTCTCTGGCGGGTAAAGTTCCTTTTCATCGGTATAACTACAAATACTGCAGCACATCATGTATGCATGTGCATGGAGATATCCTTGAAGATGGATGACTCTTCTCCTCTCTTCTCTTTTCTTCTCTTCTCTTCTCTCATTCGAACTTCGTTGTCTGTATTCTGTATAGAAGAGTTATGGGGACTTTTCCAATTCAACCCTCATAGTAATATTTATCATCATAAACCAGTCTTTGTGAGGTGCAGAGTAGGCATGCATGGGAACATCCAATGGATGATGACATCACTCAAATTCATGCTTCTCTTCCATGAACTTGAAATGTAATATTGTACAAAACTACAAATAAGGATTCATTGTGGAGTATATGTTTGTGTTAGCTAGTTTCTTATGTACTACTCAGCATAGAGGTGGGTTCGGTTTTGGCGGTTCGATTTTTATTCAAAACTAAAGATAAAACGGAAGGTAAGTTGACGATTCGGGTCGGTTTGGTTTTGCATAAAAGATATTTAACTCGTCCGCTATTCGGTTTGGTTTTATGCAGTTTTTATTTCAGCTTTTTTTGTGTTTTCTCGATTTATAAAAACAAAAATTTATAAGCATTAAAAAATTGTAAAAATACTACTCCGTAACCCGATGACGGAATAACAATATGTAGGTTTGGGTTCAGTTCTTTGGTTTGATTTTTGTACAAAACCAAAAATCGAACGGAAGGTTAGTGTTCCGTTCGGTTCAATTTTACAAAAAAGTATGTGTTAAGTGTCCAACAAAAATCTAAGAGATTCCAAATACTCCCAAAGACATCGTATGTAAATATACAGAGAATTTGTTTTTTTGGTATAATACTTTCATTTTTATTATAACATCAAAGTTTTTTTATGTCAATATGTAAATTACTTGTATCAAAGTAAAATGTTAATATAAATTGTATTAGGATTAATTATTGGTGTTTATATTCTTAAGTTTTTTTAAAGTTTATGATATGGTTTCAAATATTTAATTAATAGTTATAAAATACGGAGTAACTTTTATCGACTAATCAATTATTTATATTTATATTTCTATGATATTTTTATATGTCACATATACTCATAAATAAATTTTAATCACTTTTTTTAATCTCATATTTTTTGTTAGTTATGTGATAAAATAATATAGTTTTGTCATCTCTTGTTTTGTAGAAATTTTGATGTAGTTGTTTAAATATATAAACTTTATTTTTTTAATTTTATATCTACAATCAAATGAATTGAAAATAAAATCAATCAAATCTCGAAAACAGAAACGGAAAGAATATTTTAAGAGGGAGCATTTGAGTCAATTCAGTCAACATTGTGAAGAGTATTTGACAAGATTTATGGAGTGGGAGTAAATAACAAAAAAATGTGCATTTGCCTTTCAGCTGGAAGATGGCTCAAAGGGCGCAGCTGCGATAAAGCCGCGATGTGGTTAGGGCATTTTCCGCGCCATTTCTATGAATCACAGTTGCTGAATGATTGATTATTGATGGCGAAGGTAGACGAAAACCCGACGACTCCATTGGCGGTAGCCTCCAAGCTCGACCCTACTCCGGACCCTTCCCACAAAGACCAGCACTCCTCGCCCAACTCCGCCACCAACTCCTCCCGTCACCGCGCCACTAAACTCAACAACAAGAGCAATGACCGTTCTCCGCCGCGGAGAAACCCTCAAACCGCCGAGGAGTTCGTGCTCTCCGTCGCCTCCAAATACGCCTCTCAGCCTCTTCAGTACTCCGATCCTGACGTTTGGGGTGTTCTCACCGCAATTTCCGACAAGGCTCGAAAGCGTAGCCAGGTCCGCGATTTCAATCTTATGCTGTATTTTTTTTGGAGTATTTTGGCTCCGTCTGTATACATTACTAATTTAAGTTTTGTTCATCGTGTTACGTGAATTGGTATAATAGCCATGAGAATTTATCCAAAAAGTCTCAAGATTTTCTGACTGAATACGAATTGAAGATGCACAGCGACATTTTACTTGCTATTCTTGAAGAGGTCAAACAACTTGATTTATCATGATTCCGGAATGTTATGAGGAAATCATATTTCAGTATTCTTGATTGTTTATGACAATTTAACAGTTGTGTAATGATCTCATGGATTGATTGAAAATATTTCTGACTTTGAAAGAAAACCCAAATGTTCTTCTCTAGCTGTCAACCCCTTACTTTGTCTAGTGTCCATTTGCTGCTGTTCGTGCAACACAATGTAGAGCATGACAAACTTTAATTTTAACAACACACTTTGAGTATTTATTATTCGGCGCTCTCACTTTCTACTCAGGGCATTAATATACTTTTGACATCTGGAGAACACTGCATTGGCCGCATGGTTGGCGATTCTCGTTTCCAGATTTCTTCTCCAGCTGTTAGTGCCATGCATTGCATGATCTATAGAAAAAAGGTTGCTAGTGGAGACACAGAGCATGGGACTTCTGTTTTTCTGAAAGATACTAGGTTGAATATTCTCTCTGCATGATCTCTATCCATATCTTAAAGTCAACTTTCTAATCTCTGGATCCTCTGCAGCACAAACGGAACATACCTCAACTGGATAAAGTTGAATAAAAGTTACCCTGATTCTATACTTCGGCATGGAGACATTATATCCATTGCATTCGCACCACATCACGGTAAATGAATGCTAGTCATTCTAGAAGATGAGATTGCTTGTTCTGATCTAAAGAAGGAAATAAACAGATTTGCTTGGGTCTTATTTCATATGGCTAAATATGGATCATTATTAGGTCAATAGTATTTTAGAAGAAGAGTGTATTTTTGGTTCATTAGTCCTAGCGGTAACTAAGTTTGTAAAAGTTCTGCCTTATTCCCTTTTTGTCTACCATTTTCTGAATCATGCTGCTTTTCAGCTTAACTGGAGAAGAACAGCTTAGATTTCTTTTTACATGTTGACAGAACTTGCATTTGCATTTGTATTTCGCGAAGTCTTCAGGCCTACTTCATCAGCAGATGCAGTAACTATAAAGAGAAAAGCAGGTATCTAGGATCTTCTTTCAACTTGGTATTCATGTCATTTTTCTGGTATAGGCCGATGTGTTGGAAACTTTAAGGGGCTGTTTATTTCAGCCTCTTAATGGTTCAAATGTCTGAATGGTTCAGCACTTAATGGTTCAGCCTCTTAATGGTTCAGATGTCTGAATGGTTAAGTATTATACAGAGTCTGAGAGTCTGAATGGTTAAGACCTCTTATCTGAATTGATCAGACATTTGCCTCTGAATAGTTAAGCAATATACTAGCTCTTAATGGTTCAGACCTCTTACTGGTTCAGCACTTAATGGTTCAGACCTCTTACTGGTTCAGCACTTACCGATTCAGAAGTTGCCAAACAGCCCCTAAGCATTTCTCACTGATCACCATGATAAATAAATGTATGTAGCTTGTGTATTATGTAGTAGATTTCTGATCTTGACTAATATGCGCTTATCCACTTTGGGGGGACTGTAAAGAGGAGTTTGGTTGCGACAACAAGAGACTTAAGGGAATAGGCATTGGTACTGCTGAAGGTCCTATTTCTCTGGATGATTTCCGTAGCCTACAACGGTCAAACACGGTACACCTTTTTTTGGGTTTCACATTTGTTCCGGTTTGTGCCAAGCTTGTATTTTGAATTTAAACAACCATATTATTTTAATATATACTGAATTTCGCTATAGGAACTGAGGAAGCAACTAGAGGATCAAGTCGCAAAAATTGAGGCTTTGCGCAATGAACACCGTGTAACTGTTGAGAATCACGAGAGTGTATGCTCTACTTCTTAATATTTGTTCTTTTCTCTTTTGAATGAACCCATCTCTCTGCACACCTTTAACTATGTTAGACTCCTTTATGCATTTAATGAATTAAGCTCTTTTGCTTTTGCTTTTTATGATATGCATTATATTGAATGGGAGCCATGGTGCATTGATAGTCCCAATATGTGTTGGGGTTATGATTTTTTAGCTTGATGCCTACAAAAATAAATGTATTCGTGTGCGAATCAATGCTGCTTTATTTGAGATAATGCTTTTACTGCTCACTGTCAATAGCTTCTAAAGAGTCATGACATTGTAGATACTCAATCTCCAATTGTAGAAACCTGAGTGCCTGACAAATATGATTACAGTAATCAAAGGATGTGGGCAACAGCGTTGTAGACATACAAATCCATTTAAATTCAGCCATTTTTTTAGAGCTTACATCGTCTCTGAAGCAATATAATAAAGCTTGATAGATATATAGACCCTGCGTCAATTGCCAATGAAGCTGAAAGAGTCATTATTGACAATGTTTTAGCTTAATGTAAGTAATGGACTAAATCCAAAAGGCACTTAAACTACCTTTTCTTCTTACTTTTAATTATGTTTTGGGTAGTACATGCACCAAGCGTCTCACAGAAACGATTTCTCTTTTTAAGGGGGGTAAGACTGGGTTTTATTGTCTTTGGTGTGGTAGATATACGAACCCATTTAAGCTCAGTCATTTTGTTGGAGTATTCCTTATTGAAATAAATTTAATAGAGCAGATAGCAGCAAGTGATTATACAATTGCCATTACTTTGCATTGGCTACCGAAAGTTAAACTCTCTTTCCTTCGTGTGCCTAAGTTTACTGTTTCTCTTCTGCAGGAAATGAAAGATTTGAGAGATTCTGTTTCAAAATCCTACCATGATCAGATCAAAGAGTTGAACCGATTATTGGAGTTTAAGGATAAAGAATGTGTTGAATCTAGTAGAATATCTGCTGAGCAAAAACATAATCTGGAAGATCTTAATGAAAGACTCAGTGCATCTGAGCAATCATGTATTGAGGCCAATGAAATCATAAACAGGTACACCACATTGTTGAAAACATGAAATGAGAAATTCCATAGAGCTTGTTTTCATTTCTTTAATTTATACTCCTTCCGAAATTGTATGACGTTTAAGCCCAAAAAATCCCAAAATAATCGCCATTTTAGGGACTTGATGCATATTTTTAAAATTTTACTAATCACCAAAACTTGACCATTTTAACTATCCCTACGTTAAAATGCTTTTGCACCTTGAAAGAACAACAGTGCATTTAATTTCAAACTTAAACAAGGATTTAATGGTCATATTGTTCATACCTTGAAGATGTGTGCCCTTCTCTTAAATTTCAGTTACATATTTGTACTGAGATGTTTGTTTTAGTTTTATGGCTCTGCTGTTTGGAAGACCTTAAAGTTGCTGGTATTTCTTTAACTTTTTAGTCAGAAAGCATCTATTTTGGAACTGAAGGCCTTGCTAGACGAGGAACGTGAACAGAGAAAAGAGGAACGAGAAAAGGCTGCATCAGACCTTAAGGCCTCTATACAGAGAGCTCAGGCTGAAGCCCGGGAGGAACTAAACAGATACTCTGATGCTGCTTTGAGACGCGAAAAAGAGCAGCAAGAGATGATTAACAAACTACAGGTCAAAATGATCAAGCGTATCTTGGATTCTCGTTTCCCAATAGTTCTGCATATTTTTCTTAAGGCCACAAAGTTTGATTATCTTGGTTATTTATGATTCCAGGAATCCGAGAAAGAGAGGTGTTCACTTGTGGAGGCCTTGAGAGTGAAATTGGTATTTTATATAGTGTATACGTGGCCTTACGCCCAACATGTGCATTATGTGTTTGTTCTCTAACTTGCCGGAATTATGTTATATTCATTTCCTTATCACAGGAAGAAACCAGACAGAAACTGGTAAGTTCAGACAATAAAGCTCGCCAGCTTGAGGCACAAATGCAAGTGGAGCAATTGGCTTCTGTCACTAGCAGAAAAGTAGGTTTTCTCCTTGTTAAAATGTCAATGTACGACACAGATGTTTTAATTAAAAAAAAGTTTGTTTTGTGCCTGATTTCACTGGATGCTTATAACATGGAATCTTGGAAATGGTTTGCTCTTTTCACAGAGAATAGATGATCTTGAGCATGAAATGGAAGGGCTGAGGAAAGAGCTCGAGACAGAAAAGGTAGGCTTGAGATATTATATACGGAGTATACATCATTCTGGTTTGAAATACACTCGTCTTTTACTCCCTCCGTCCCCTTTTAGATTACAATATTCCATTTTTGATAAAATTAAGGAAGAGTCAAATCAATTTTTTCCCCAAAATTACCCCCCAAATACCCCTGTTATGCATTATTAGCCTTATATGGCTTTCAATAGGGAAGTGGGGTGAATAGTTTAGGATTGGAAAAGTGGGTGAGATTTTGACATTGAAATGATAAAATAATGATCATTACTTAATCCAAGTACTCAAAATGGGGCACACTACATTATTTAACATTACATTTAGAGGGAAACAATGAAAATTAAAATAAAAAAATTTCATTTCCCTCCTAAAACTTCATTTCCTAGCCTTCAACTCCTTGCTATAAATAACAGCATTTACTCCTTCCATTAATAGCACATCTCTGCAATTTCAATCCTCTTCAATGCAGCCTTTTCTCCCATTTGATCTTAATCAATTACCCTCAGAAGTAGGGGGTCTTGAGACTGAAACTCTTGCTGCAATTTCTGCTACCACTGGCCCTTCAGTCTTCTTCAATGGACGTCTTGCTCCCGCCAATCCTGATCCTGGTGCTGAACGGGAAGCAGCTGCAAATGACGCTGCTCTCCTTGCTCCAGCCTCTGTGCACACAGGGCACAACTCATCACCTGCAGAAGAAGAAGAAAACCAGCAGCAAACACATACCAATACCAAGCCAAGGTTGTCAAACAAGGTAAGAAAGCGCTATTACTATCTACTACGAACAACAAACTTCAGAGGGGGTAACAGCACTTGTACAAGAGTACAAGACATGTTATAAGACCATTTACCTACTGTGGGCAAGAGCTAGAGAACAAATGCAAGGACTACCCATTGATGTTGACACACAGATGAAAGGGTGCGTTGGTAGAAAGAAACTGGATTTAGATTTACAGAAGCTTGCAAATGTTCCTTTATGCAAAAGAAAAAAATATGAGGGCAGTGGCCTCTCAATTAAATGTGTCAAAGAGTACCATACATAGACTCTTGAAAAGGAAGCAGATAAAGAGACATTTGAATGCCATAAAGCCACTGCTGACTGACATGGGTAAGATAAAAAGGTTACGCTTTTGTTTAGGTAACTTAATGTCTCATACCATTCCCATGAACCCAACTTTTTATCACTTCTATGACCTTATATACATTGATGAGAAATGGTTTGAGCTAACCCAAGAAACAACCACATTTTACACCCTCCCAACTGAGGAAGATCCATATGAAACCACCCAGTCCAAAAAGTTCATTCCAAAAATTATGTTTCTAGCAGCAGTTGGGAGGCCAAGGTTTGGAAACAATGGGGAAATAGTGTGGGATGGTAAGGTGTGAATATTTCCCTTTACATATCAGGAAGCTGCAAAAAGGAACAACGAGAATAGGCCTGCAGGAACACTGGAAACAAAGCCAGTGGAAATTGTTAACAGGATTGTTATGAGGGCGATGATTCTTAACAAAGTCATACCAGCTATAAAGTCTAAGTGGCCTGATGCTCATAATAGGCACATTATCATGCAACAAGATAATGCCAAACCACATGTAGACCCAGTGACATAGACATTGTTCAACTTTGTCAATAGGATGGTTGGGATATTAAACTTCAATTCCAGCCACCTAACAGTCCAGACTTAAATGTCTTGGACTTAGGATTCTTTAGAGCTATTGACACAATCAAAGATCAGAAAGCTCCAAAGAATGTCACAGATCTAATCAGTGATGTGGAAAATGCATTTGTCGAAATGACTCCAGAAAACTGAATAAAGTCTTCTTAAGATACCAATGTGTTATGCAAGAGGTTATAAAGCAGAAAGGGGGCAACCAGTATAAGCTTCCTCACATTGGGAAAGACAGATTGGCAAGAATGGATCAGTTACCAGAGAACATTGAGGTTAACATTGAGGTTAGCACAAGATTTCTTAGCTACCCAAGCAGGTGTATAAACTGTTGATTGTTTTTTTGGATTTTGGGAAGTGCAAATGCTATGGGGACAAGTACTTTGGGGAGTACTATCCAACATGACTTTTTTTGGGTTTTGGGGAGTACTATCCAACATGACTTTTTTTGCTTTTTGGGTTTTTTGGGTCTGGATAGTATGTGCATATGTAACAAAATGTAGTAATGTAACATGTTTCTTATCAAGTCAAGGGAATATTGTAATCTAAAATATTGACTGTGTTTGCCATCATTGATCTCAGAAAGATTTCTGTCATCACAGACCTCAAGCAAGTTTGGGTGTGGTAGACCTCAGGGCCAAACACACACATAGGATGTGCAAGACCTTAGGGCCTGGTAGAACTCAGACCTTAGGGTCATCATAGATCTGAAGGAAATGCTTTACTTCATAAACCTTAAGCATTTATAAACCATAGACAACATATATCAGGCAAAGATACATCACAGTGAGGTTCAACATTACGGCCATAGATAAACCATACACATCATATATCAGGGTAATGTTAAACATTACGGCCATCACACATCTCAGCACAAAACATCACAGATCTCAAGTACCCAGATAAATCTGTGGCCAAAACACACAAGGGCTATCACATAACAAGCAAAATGTCCTCTAAGGTATGCTACACAGTGTTCAAGGTCAATTTAACATGAATTTTAATATTGAAACATAACCCCCCTATCATCATCAGTCACAACGAAATACATCTCCTCTATGAGTAAGAAAGAAATAAAAGAAGGCATACCGCATGGATCAAGGCCAGGATGTCCATGAAAAAATAATCAGCGCATTCATATTTTTCGGGTAATACCCAGAGCTCACCTCTTCCCCTTCACCTTCTTTGCTCATAAAACCATCAATTGAGTCTTCTACAACCACACAGTTGTACTTCTCTCTAAACCTCCAAGTAGGATCACTCTCAGAAGTGTAGCATGGTGATTCAACACGCACCTCAAGTTTTGATTCCGAAACAGGAGGCGATCTAGATATAGATCTAGATTGCGATTCGTGTGACAAGAGACCAAAACTGGGCATAGATGGATCACGTTTCCATGGAGGGGACATTGTAACCGTAAAGGTAAAAATTTTAGACACAGCGAAATTGAAATTGGAGAAGATGAAGTGGGGAGGAGAGGAAAAGGTGAGGAGATGAAGAGGTGAGTAGAGATTTTAGATCTAGATTAGATATAAATGGATAAGGAGAACGTGGCTGACACAAAAGGGAAGGGAGGGTAAAACAGTCCATTTAGTGTAAAAGAAAACACTTTGTAATTCTTTTTGGGACAAAAATGAGAGGGAATATTGTAATCTAATTGGGGATGGAGGGAGTATAAGAATACACGAAAACATCAACACAAGAATAGATGAAATCATCAACACCAGGGACTGAGACTTTCTGGTTTGTGCTGTAGTATAGTAGGGTTAGGTGTGTGTTGGGTTTCAATATTTGAGACTTTTTGGTGCTGTGGGTAGCAGGCTGCTCGAGAAGAAGCATGGGCAAAGGTTTCTGTTCTTGAACTAGAGATCAATTCTGCCATACGAGACCTAGATTATGAGAGACGCAGATTGAAAGCTGCCCGGGAAAGAATCATGCTTCGGTGAGAATTTTCTCTTCATTAAACATTTAAATTACTGCATATGTTATTCCACATGTTTTTTTTGAGTGATGCATGTGTAACTCTGTTATGCTTGTTTCAGAGAGACTCAGCTTCGGGCTTTTTATTCCACCACAGAGGAGATTTCAGTTTTGTTTGGGAAGCAGCAGGAGCAGTTAAGAGCAATGCAAAAGACATTAGAAGATGAGGAGAATTATGAAAATACATCATTGGATTTGAACATTGAACCAAAAAATCACAATGCTAATAATGGATCAGTAGTGGGTGAGAGAGGAGGTGGAGGACACTGCTTCAACGCTGCTGCTGCTGCTGCTAAGACGGGCTCCACTAATTCCACCCATAGGAACGCCAAAGATCTCTTTGGGGCATCAAGTGAGGGGAGCATGACAGAGAAGCACGATTGCACCATCAGAAGCCAACATGAAGACGGTCAGGGCGGGACCCAGGAGGTGGAGTTTACCAGCAGGGAACACTGTAAGCTCGTGGCCATTGGTTCTGATATCAATGCACCTATCATAGAGGGAGATCCTGTTGGGACGGAACAAATCCACGAAACAGGCGATAACCTTAGCCACCACCTCATAGGAACAGAAACAGTGGCCGAGACAGAAAGCCAAGAGAGTGATCAGAGGAATATAGACACAAACCAATTCGATGGTGGGGATACAATGAATTTAGACGGTAAGACAGATGAAGCGAGGAAGAATCCCTTAGAGGGGAACATAAACGAGACAGAAGAAGTGGGAGAGACAGTGAGAACATGTGATCTTTTGTCTTCAGAAGTTGCTGGGAGCAGGGCATGCAGTGCTGTGGCCCCATCATCTCTTCATCATGCAGAGAATGGTTCTCAAAGGAGCAGAGGGAATACTCATAAGAATGATGGTTCATCATCACATTCTCTATGTGTTCCTGAGAGCCAATCTTCCATGGCAAATTCTACTCCTCCTCCTCCTCCTCCTCCTACTACTACTACTACTACTACTACTACTACTACTACTACTACTACTACTACTAGTGGTAGTAGACGGGATCATGACCGCAAAGCACTTAGCGAGATGATTGGAATCTTCGCTCCAGATCTGAAGGAGCAGTTTGGTCACGCTGTGGGAGATGATGAGGTGGAGGAAAGCGGTGGGATTGCTTCTGATTCTGAAACCGAAAGCTGCTCGGACAGTGACAATGAAGAGGTGGCGGATACTGAAGTTGGATCAGCTGCTGCAATGGATGCCAAGTATGATGATGATGATGATGATGATGATAATGTTGATGATGAAGGTGATAATGTTGATTGGGAAGAAGATGATGATGATGATGATTAGTAGTTAAGTGACACATCTGTAAATAGTTCAGTGTCCTGATGAGTTTTTTCTTCTCTTTTTCCCCTCCGGAAAACAAAACTGTAGTCTCCTTTGCACCGAGCATTTGCAGAATTTGTGCCATTTTATCTTTTATGGGAATGAGTTCATAAGAATATGGCAAATTTTTTCGTGATGGATCATATCTTAAATTTGGACCTTTACACCATGTTTGGTTCAAGGAATTTGACAGGGAAAGAAAATGAAAATGAGAAAGAAAAATTTTTTCTTGTTTGCTTAGAGAGGAAAAGGAAAGTACAAGAAAAAGAAAATGAGAAGTCAAAATGTATTAAGAGAAGGAAAAATCAAATTCCTCTTATTTTGGTGAGGAAACAGGAAAAACTATTTTCTTTTTCTTTTCTTTCTAAATTCTTTGGACCAAACATAGTGTTGGATTACAATAGTAATACTCAATAAGAAATTAAAAAGTGAAAATGTTTTTTTGGTTCAAGGAATTAGGAATGAAAAGAAGAGAAAATGAATTTCTCTCATTTTTTTCACCAAAATGGAAGGAATTTGATTTTTCTTTTTCTTAATATATTTTACCTTTACATTTTCTTTTACATCTGTTTTTCTTTTTTTCCTCTCTAATCAAACAAGAAAAATTATTTTCTATCTTAATTTCTTTTTTTCCTTTTCAAATTTCTTGAACCAAATAAAATGCAAATCGATAATCCAATAGTATTTGCTCTCAAACATTCATTACTTTTCTTAGACTGAGGATGTGGAGTCGTGTGGCCGATGTGGCGTGCCATCTCGACTGGAAACAACCCCTTTCTCTATCGAGATTCGGCGTGGCCAGCATTTGCACGTCTAGTCCCACGAGCCCGACAATTTTTTTTTCCTTTTGCGTTGTAACACTAGTTTTATTTTTTTTTTTTTTTTTGAGTTTTCAAATTTCCTTATATGTTTAAATTAACTTCTTCTACCTCAAACTTTCATCAACTATATTGATAAAGATTGGGTCAATGGACATTGGATAGGTCTAAGAGAGAGAAGTCTTTTAGAAAAAATCCTAACCTAATGTTTTCTTATTATACTCTAAATATGACACAATTATCAAGGTGAGAATAAAATTACATCTACATCCGCTCTATACTTATTTATCTCATTGAGGTTCAAGCTCCATAAATAACTTTCAAACCACTTATTATGGGAATAATGCCCAAAGATATACGGAGTACATATTGGAAGTAATATAATACGGAGTATCTCTTTGGCATGGTACTGCGGAAAAGACTATGTTTATTATTTGATTTGTATTATATACATATTTTACATATCTCGATGGATATCCATCATATATATTCCGGAAGAAATTGAAAATTTAACCTTTATGTTGAACATGATTTGTCTTATCCCTCTCTTTAAGAAAGATTTTCGTATTGCGAATTATTATACTGATTGTAGTTATTTTTTATTTATTAGAATAAGTTTTTAATTAAAAGATAAATATACACATTTAAAAATTAAATAAAAATTCATTAAAAAAAGTAGTTTAGATTTGAACTTATGAATAGTTGTGAGCATTTTTTTGGAGTGGAAGATCTATTTTTCTAGAAATGCCACGTTGCACTTAATGCAGTACTTCATAAGGTAGACGGAAATCACCCTAAATAGGACTAAAACATAGAGTTTATGTCGAAAATAGGACTTCTATTTTTTATCCTCAAAATAGGACCAAACATTACAATTATACCCTTGTTGCCCCTGCCCTCTCTTATGTGTTAACTCTGTTGCCCTTCATCTCCTTTCTCTTGCTTTTCCATGATCGAGAGTTTTTTTTCTTGTTTTTGGTTTTGTTTTGTGTATTTTCTTTGTTTTGTTTTCTTCTGTGTTTTTTTTCTTTCGTCTCTTTTTTTTGTTTTCTTTCTCTCTCCTTCTTCTTGCCCTTTTTTCTTTTCTTTTTCATTGTACATGGAGTTTTTAACTTCTTCTATATTTCATTTTTCCTTGTGCAACCCATTTATCCTTTTATGTTTAATCAATTAATGCTTAAAGAAATAAAATATAGAGAAAATGCTAAAATAGGAGTTCCATGTTTTTATTCTCTAAATATGAGTTCGCATTGTTGTAATATGACATTCTACATAGGCATTTATTGTAATGTACATGGTCATGCTTGGTAATGTAAACGTATTTTAATTCAGATTTCGGTAATAAAAACATGAAAATTCTATTTTGTTATATTTTCATTTTTTACTCTTTCTTTAGAGAAAGTACTAACGTAGGAGCTCCATGTTTTTATTTACAAAATAAGAGTTTGTACTGTGGTAATGTGACATGTGTATATGTGGACATGTGAACATGTGGACATGTGGTTCAAGTATTTGTGGTCTTGTGGACATGTAGCGCGACCAGTGAGGAAAAAAATGATTTTGTCTCACAAATGGCGAGGGGTATTTTGGGTATGGCGACGCAAATTAAGTCCTATTTGGAGGATTTAAGTTTTGGAGTCATATTTAAGTATATTTGATACTTCCTCCGTCCCTAAATATTTGTCACACTTGTATTCCCGAGGCAAAATATCAAGTTTTTTCAATACATTTTATTTACATATAGGTATAGAAATAAAAAATAAAATTTACATATCAAAAAACTACATGAAAAGTTCTTCAAAATAAGAGGTGTCAAGAATATTTTATTTTATCAAATAACCAATGAAAACGTAGAAATAAACAAAAGTTCCCGCAACGCTAAAAAAGCAAACGTTGCAAATATTTCGGGATGGAGGGAGTATGTTTTAGTCCTAGGATTTTTTCCCTAAGGTAGATGTAGACAATAGATAGAGGTTGAAAAATTGATTACTGATCCGCTAACACCTCCGTTGATAGGTGCGTTCCGGCGATGGACACGGTTGTCCCGGTGGCGGTTCTCTCGGTGATTCTCGGAGCTTCTATTGCATTTCTCGCATTCGGGAACTATTTTCGGAAGCGGAGGTCCGAGGTGGAATCGATCTCTAAGGCCGAAACTCTTCAACCCAATCAAAAGTCTCATTCTAAGCCTTCCCAGCAGTCCTCCAAGAAATCTCATGCCAAGCCTCACTCTCACGCCTCCGCTGATAAGGTAAACCATTCATCAACCATGGCCGAATTCTTATTTCATGTGAGAGCTGGAAATTTGGGGTTTTTTCTTCCAAAATGAAATCTTTTTAAATCTCCCTGATATGTTTTAAAGTTGATTATTTTGGCACATTATCTAGCACAATGCTAACTTCTGTTTTAAATTTGCAGTTGTATGTAGTTTAGTTGTATGTAGTTCAGCGGTTTGTGACTTTTATGAAGAATCTCTTTCTAATTGTCTTGCATTTTACCTAATGAATGTATCCAAAAATAACACGGGAAGTCATGTTTGAGATTCTCAAGAATTTCAAAGGTGGCTCTATGAGCACAAGAAAGAAACATAGTATCTATGGGTTGTGGCTACCAAAGTTTTGGCCTATAATACAAATCCCTGTGTAGGTAAAAAAGAGATATAACCCTCGATGTTCTTGAAATTACCACATAGGGCTAATGTATAAGTGTGCCGTGCTTGGTAATCCCACCAAAGTAACATTTCTTGGGCCGGTAACTCACAAGTTCTTATCGTCCATTCAATTTAAGTATGATCTCCTCAAGACGGTCATTGTATAATTGGTTTCCAGCGTACTCGTAAGATTCAATAGTGAAATTAGCAATATCGACCATTTTATTGGTGATATCAAAGTTTTGGGCCATAGTGCATATATTGTAAAAATATTTGTATTGTTGTATACTCTATGTCTGTCTCCGTGTTTTGTCTTCGTGCTTTGTCCATTTTCTTTCTCACTGATCCCGTTTAAGTATCAAATCCAATCTTTGACAAAGATTTGATGTGATGCTTAAATAGGATTGGTCGTCTTTGACGACTTTAAATCAAACATGCTTGTGAGATGGAAGATGGAAAAAGCACATAGACAGACAAAGAGTATACGAACAGTACAAATATTTTTACAATATGTGCATTTTAGCTCAAGACTTCTAAAACATGAATAAAATGGTTGATATTGCCCTGTTTGCTATTGGATCATATGAGGATACTGAAAACCAGCGGTACAAAGACACTGCAGAGACTGTAGTTCAGCGAACTCAAGAATTGAATAAATGGGAATATGCTCCAATTGAGTTGCGTCCAAGTACGACCCCATGATTACTGTCTTGAGGAGACATACTCAAGTTGAATGGACAATTAGAACTTGTGAGCTACTGACTCGAGAAATGCCAGTATGGTCGGCTTACCAAGCCCGACATACTTATATACTACTCTCAGGTTTTAATTTCAAGAACACCGATGAGTCTTTTTTTAAAAAAGAAACCTTCATAGGGCTTTTTATTATAGGTCAAAGCTTTGACAATCATATCCCATAGATATTCTATTTCTTTCCTTTGTTGATAGAGTCGCCTTTTTAAAAATGCTTGAGAATCTCCAACGTGGCTTGCAATGTTATTTTTAGATACATTCATTAGGTACAATGTAAAAAGATAAAGAAGAGATTATTCATAAAAGTCACAGAACACCAAACTACATACAACTGCACATGTAGAATCTGAGTGTTTGCAGCATTGTGCTAGAAAGAATTAAAATTATCTTGTGAAACTTCACTCGATTCAAAGAGACAATGTGCCAAAATAATCAACCTTTAAAAGAATCAAACTACCATGGCATCTAATTCGTGTTCATTATCGAAAGGCTTTGTATTTTGCTCATGAATTGAGAAATGGAAGTAATATTAGTTAACGGCTTTACATTTTAGGACTTGAACAAGCGACGTCATCCACTGGATTTGAATACACTAAAAGGTCATGGAGATTCTGTCACTGGCATTTGTTTCTCACCAGATGCATCTAATTTAGCAACTGGTAAAGCTTGTTTTTGTTTTACAGTCTTGTGTCATATGTAAACAACAACATTACCCTAGCGCCTGAAAGGCTCCCGCCATTTGTATCATTATTTTTACAATTAGCATGCGGCACACGCGATTCATGCTTTTGTTATGAAATGGAGTAATTTACAGTGAACATAGCGAGTAAACAAAAATGATTCACTTTTTAAGCTTGTCAATTTTTCTATTTGTAGGAATCAATTTGTTTTCTTTGCATTCTGCTAACACATTGTTGCTAACCTTGAGATGTTTTCATTTCTTGCAGCTTGTTCTGATCGAGTTTTGAGGGTCTTCAAATTAGATGACGCTTCAAGCAAAAGCTTTAAGTATAAGTCTTTCCTCACGGTTAAATGACTACTGACCCCAGTGTGGATATAATATCAGAAATATTAATTTTCCTCTCCCCTCTTAGGTTTCTGAAGATTAATCTACCTGCGGGAGGTCAAAGATTATCAATTGCATATGCTGATGAAAAGTCTTCCATAGCTGTGGCATGTGATACCATTGATGGTTCATCTATTTACATGTATGGTGAAGAAAAGCCAAAAGGAGACATTGGTGCCACACAACAGTCTAAATTGCCTCTCCCAGAAATCATATGGAAACACCAAAGAGTCCATGACAACAGGGTTATTATCACTCTGTGTAGTTCCAAGGCTACTTATGGCAGTGCGGATGGGAGTTCAATTATTGTTTCATGTTCAGAAGGTATGTCAAACTTTACCATTTTACATATTAGCGTGATGAGTTCCTTTTGTTTCTGCACTGGCGGATCCAGAAATCGGAACCACTGGGGGCGAACTTGAAGAAAAACCATGGGTCTGTGCAAAGTGGCCAACCGCACAGGCCTCCTAAAATTTTAGGGCCTCATATTTTTAAATTTGTTGATAATTTTAAAGCAAAAGTATTCTAAAAAATAAAATAGGGCCCAAAATGTAAATTTTGAACCGGGCTAATTTTATTTTTTTCATTTTTCGGGGCCGGCCCTCTGAAAAACTTATAGTTTTACTCTGTGAAACAACATTACAAATTTAGTACATGCAATATGCATATAGTTACAAAATGATAGAGTAAAAATTTGAAATCAAACTAAAATAAAATAAAAATACAATCGCATATCTGACCTAAAGTTTTTTTTGCATATTACGAAAGAACACAAACTGGGGGCAACCTAATATTTCTATGGGGGCATAACTGTTATTCTTTGAAAAAAAGAGGGTCCTAACAATATAATTAAATTTTTTTTTTGGAAATCACTGGGGGCAAGTGCCCCCATTCCTTTGAATGTACATCCGCCAGTGTCTGCACATTGAGGATAAATGGTTAAGTAACTAATGTATCCTTTGCCATTGTCATTTTAGGTACTGATATAATAATTTTTCATGGTAAAACGGGAAAGATCTTGGGTAATGTTGACACTAATCAGCTCAGAAACAACATGGCAACTATATCTCCTAATGGGCGTTTTATTGCTGCTGCAGCTTTCACTTCTGATGTTAAGGTAATTATGCTTATCGCTTTTCTATGAGATTTTTCTGTCACATGGCCCGGATGTAGTTGGATGTTTTAATTTGTACTAGAAAAAAGTGTTTTGACAATGATCTAAGTACTTGATAGAAAATCAATCAATAACTCTGCCCTGCTTTTGTCTCAGTATATTTGCAATGTGAGAGAATATTTTGCTTCTAAGCATCATATTGCGCTTGTGCTTCTAGTTTCAGAGGATGTTTTGTTTCGTTTACGGGGAGCATTTAATTTAGAATATACTCCCTCCGTCTCAAAATTACTTCACATGTTGACTTGGCACATTTGTTAAGAAAATGAAAGTGTGAGTGGCTGTGATTTATTTAGAGATGGGAAAAACAATATCACCCACACAAATCTTTCCTTAAAAGGAAGAGTTAATTGTTTTTTAGGATTACTCAACAAGGAAAGTGGGAAGAAAATGTTAGGACAGATGAAGTACCTAACTTCATATCATTCCTGGTTTCCATCTAGGTAAATAGTTTCTATTGCAATTCAGGATTTTCAAAACTCGGGGTTCTGTTCAGAACTGTGAAATTTATGTGTTGGCAGGTCTGGGAAATCGTGTACTCAAAAGAGGGTCTTGTGAAGGAAGTGGCAAAAGTTATGCAGCTCAAGGGGCACAAGGTAATCTAGTTTCTCCAAGATGAACATGAAAACAACTTGATTTCTATCTTAATTTGATGCTGGTCCCTCTTCAATTGAAAACATGCTTATTGCTTAACATCATTTGTGATAATGCCCCTCTCCCCATTCTTTATATTTTAATTACATGCAATAATCTAGAGCTTGAAGTTCTAGAGTGGTTAATATTTCCTTTCAACTGTATGACATGTTCAGAGTGCAGTGACTTGGCTCTGCTTTAACCGAAATTCAGATAAAATAATTACTGCATCCAAGGAGTGGAATATCAATGGTATGTTAAATCACCTTTACTAATTACTCCTTGAACGAGAACTCCATTGCACAATACTCCCTCTTGTGGGATGCTTAAAGTTTTCATGTTGCAGTGAGATACCATCTTGACGAGGACCCTAAAACTCTGAAAGTGTTTCCCATTCCACTCCTTGACTCAAACGGCACATCTTTGCACTATGATCGCATATGCCTGTCACCTGATGAAAAGGTATTGGCATCTACCCACGGCTCAACTTTGCAATGGTTACACGCTGAGACGGGGGAGGTCTTGGACACGGCTGAGAAAGCCCATGATGGTATTATGCCTTCCTTTCTTTTTTGGTGTATCGCATTGATTGAGAACCCCATTTTTTTAAGTATCGTGTTTTGTATTTTTCATTTATTAGTCTTTTATTCTATCTATCAGGTATCATCACAGACATGACTTGGTCACCTTGTACCATCTCCACAGGCAAGTTGTCTAACTCCGTTAATGAAAAAGTAATATCCCGAAGTGATACGGTTGCATATCAAAAGTGAACAATAATGAGGGACACAATTGTAGGTGTAATAATATATGGGTTTTATAGTACTTGTATGATTTACGAATGAGAGAATGTTTGACAAGATTGCAACACGTAAACTCTTGTCCAAAAACATCATAACTTTGAATAGAAAACCAAAGAATCCATTTCACAACCACGCCTATATCATTTTATCTACAACAGAAACGAAAAACAAAGGCAAGTATGATATGAAGTTGCTTAGTACTATATCCGTCTCAAAACAAGTATTGTCACAACTGAAGGCTTGAAGCTATAAGTTCTTGGCTTATTCGTTACTCCATATAAGTCCATCTTCTTCTTCTCCGGAAATTAAATGAATATATGTTTTGTTTGAGTGGTTCCATTCTATCATTGTGCAGGAGGAGGCAAGAGAGAATGGGTATTGGCCACCTCTGGCACGGATAAGAAAGTGAAACTTTGGGCAGCTCCGTCATCACCATCATCATCATGAAATTAACAAACAAAACCACAGCAGCTACTTCTTACTAATCATGATGCAGATGCGCTGAAGTTTTGTGGCGCCGACCTCTGCTTTCGACTCCCGGTGATTCATAGCATAAGTGTAGCAGTTTGGCTTACATTATAGTATTTTACAGTACTTCAGATGGGCATGAATGTGTTGAGTGTGTTCTTTTGTTTGTTTTTAAATTATAAGTTGAGATTTATTTTGGGGGTGTGAAGTTTAGTTGATGGATTGAAACCAGTATTAATTATCGTATTTCTTCCTCTTTTTGGCAGGCGAATTTAATTTTGAGTTAGTTGTTCAACCATTTTTAGCATTTTATTTTCTATAAGATCATAACTCATAAGCGACATTTTTACATGCATTAGAGCCTTAAAGGGTGATTGACAGTGTGTTGCTTTTTAGAGTTTAACTTCTACTTTAAATGGAAGTGATTTTATTTTGTTTGGCATGTCAGTTTTTGTTTTTCTCCATCATTATTTTGTACATAGAGTAGTATTTTGGAGAAATAATTATGAAATGCTTTTGCTTTCAGTTTTGTGAAAATTACTTTATTCACAAGTTAATCACTTTCAAGTGCCCTCTTACTAGCAAACTTGACTTGGGGTCTATTATTTTGAACATTAATTCTTAACTTTTCAAGTTTTTTAAACTCTTATCAAGTTTTTTCAATTTCTTTAAACATACTTTTATTTTCTTTCAACATCTAAGTCTAATTCTCTAACAAAAAAAGAATAGAGGTTAAGAGTTCTAAAAGTTGCGAGATAAAATACTACTCCGTATATCCCTTTTATCTTATTCTCTCGTTTGATTGTTTAGGCTACGTATTAAACTTTTATGAACTTCAACTACAAAATAAAATTATATTGGATTATGATATAAATATAATAACCTCTTTGTTCCCATGACATTGGTTCTCAATGTCATGGGATAAATAGGGAGTGCTCCAGTGTCTCATTCATAAAATTAACGATTCTTACCCCTACTACTGCGTGAATAATGCGAAAAACAACATCAAATGACAAAAAATTAGAATAGTGAAAGTACTACGGAGTAATAATTTTTTTTAATAATGATAATATTAGGTTTTATTTTAAATAATAAGTGCTATTTTTATAAATAATAGTAAGTGTTATTTTTCTTAAAAAAAGAGCAATAAAACTACTCATTAATTTTTAATAATAATAATTATATATGAAAACAATAACAGAAAAGTAAAATAATAAGAAGTAGATAATAATTAATACAAAGTAATAATAATAAGTACTGTTATTTTTATAAAAAAGTATAGTAGTAGAATTACTAAATAATTGCTTTTAATAAATAATACTATTAATAATTATAAGTGTTTTTTGTAATAAGTGCTATTTTTATAAATAAAAATTTTTGTTATTTTTCTCAAAAAAGAGTAGTAAAACTAATAATTAGTTTTAATAACGGAGTAAATAATAATAATAATAATAATAATAGAATAAGAAGAAAATAATAATAAATATGAAGTTATAATAATAAATGCTACTCCACTATTTTTTAAAAAATTAGAGTGGTAAAACTACTAATTGATTTTAATAATAATAATAATAATTAATAATAAATAATAATAATAATATGATAAGAAGAAAAAAGATTCAAAACAAAAAAAAGTAGAAGAAAAAAAAAGGGGAGGGTGGAGGGCGGGATAAAATCTGAAGGCGGAGGAGGGAGGAGGAGGAGGAGGAAGAGGAGAAGAAGAAGAAAGAAGATGCAGATCGAAAATGGGGAAGAAGGAGAAGCAGTTAATGGAGACCAGAGTTTAACAGAGAAAGAGACGGAATGTCACATCGGTAGCTTTTTTGATATTTTAAGGTACCTCGAAATATATTTTAAAAAATAATGGGACGTGTAAGTTGCAGAAAATTACTCATGGGTGACGCAGGTTTTGTCGAAATAACTCTCAGGTCCCTCTATTTTCAAGAAGACGACAGAGGTCCTTACATTTTGTTGTAATGACTGGGAGGGGACATTCCACCCATATTTCATCCATAAACGTAAATAAATGTATTTTTTTCTTTTTTTTCTAAATATTTTAAGGTAATAAATCTTAGGTCGCTCCTTTTTTTTATTTCTTAATTTTTTCTTTTTTTTTTTTGTTACTCTTTTTTAAAGTGTTATTTTAGAATTTCTTCTATAAAATCGGATAAAAATTCAAAATTGTTTGTATTATATTAAAATAAATGAAATAAAATATTTTCTAAAAAAGAAAAAACCGAGTAATGGCAAAATAGGAAAAAACGGTAGGTGTGTAAACGGATAATATCCGTGACGGATATGCCATATCCGAATCCGTATCCGTTTAAGTTTAGGAATATCCGAATCTGTATCCGTATCCGGCTGATATGTACTATACTATATCCGAATCCGTATCCGACGGATAATTATGAGTTTCGGATATATCCGAATCCGATTAGATATCCGAAAGTAACCGAATATCCGAATCCGATTAGATATCCGAAAGTAACCGAATTCGAAAATATCCGAGTCCATTAAAAAATCCAATTAGATATCCGAATCTATTTATAAATAAATTAAACACAGTCCAAAACTATAATTGAAGTCAATAAAACATTAATACCAAAAAAAACTTTAAAATACAAAAAAACAATAGTCAAAATTTCTTTGTGGGCTTTTTCTTTTTTTACATGTAGGGTAACATATTGGGAATTAACAAATAAATTAGTAATGGTAAACTATGTAAATACTTGATGCTCTACTAGGGTTATATTTATTCAAAAAATTATTCGGTATTCGGATAAACGAATATTGGTAAACGGTTATTTAAACGGATGTATATTCGGATCGAATTTTAAACGGATCGGATATACAATTACCATATCCGTATCCGTTTAGTAATCGGATACCTTTAATCGGATACGGATAATATCCGTTTAAAACGGATACAGATATTCCCTCTTTAAACGGATACGGATGCGGACGGTAAACGGATTTTCGGCTATCCGTTGACAGCCCTAAAAAACGGTAATGGAAAAATAGGAAAAAATACATTTATTAACACTTATGGGACAAAATATTGGATGAAATGTCCCCTCCCAGTCATTACAACAAAATATAAGGAACTCAATTGTCTTCTTGAAAATAGAAGGACCTGAGAGTTATTTCGACAAAACTCGTGTCACCCATAAGTAACTTTCTGTGTAAGGCTCCGTTCCGTTCAACTTATTTTTTCTGATCTGATCTGATTTTAATAAGTTCTGATCTGATCTGATCTGATCTGATTGGATCTGATCTGATTTGATTGGATCTGATCTGATCTGATTGGATCTGATCTGATTTGATTGGATCTGATCTGATCTGATTGGATCTGATCTGATCTGATTAGATCTGATCTGATCTGATCTGGTCTGATCTGATTAATTATGATTTAATTTAAAATTTCAAATTAATAATTTGATTTGACTTTATAATAATGTTTGAAAATTGTAATGATAATTCATAGTATAATATAATCAATATTTTTTATTTAATAATTTTTTTTAATAAAATAAAAATAGTTAATTCATATATTAGAATAATCATTCATATTATAATGTAATAATATTTTTTATTTTATGATTATTTTTTTATATTAGAATGTTAATTTAATATTTTAATAATTACTTCATATATACATTAGAATAAATATTTAATTTAGATATACATTAAAAATTAATTAAATTTAGATAATCAATATATAGAAGAGATAGTATTTTTATTAAAATATCTCATCCTTATAAAAGATCAAAACTTTAGAAACTCAAATTACAAGTAGCAATAAAAATATATTTTAAAAGTAGAATTAGATTGACACTGTTAATGTATTTTAAAACTAATTTTTCCGACGTCTAATAATTAAGGATTACTTTCTCAGTTTTCTATTTAACCTATTTCTAAAGTTTATTCTTTTTCATTTTTAAGAACAATAATAATAATAATAATAATAATAATAATAATAATAATATTAATAATATTAATAATAATAATAATGATAATAATGATAATAATAATAATAATAATAATAATAATTCTTGATGGGATCTGATTTTAATAAGTTCTGATCTGATCTTATCTGATTGAGTCTGATCTGATCTGATTGGATCTGATCTGATCTGATTGGATCTGATCTGATCTGATCTGATTCGATCTGATCTGATCTGATTCAATCTGATCTGATCTGATCTGATTCGATCTGATCTGATTTGATCTGATCTGATCTGATTCTAATTAGAATAAGAAAAAATAAGAAAAAATAAGTTGAACGGAACGGGGCCTAAAGTTGGTATAATTTTCCTAACCACAAGTCATCACCTAGATCTGCCGAGCAAACAATAAAGCTGCTTGCCGCCGGACGTGGAAGAAAGTGGCTTCCATGGCGTCAGTGGCTATATCCCCCAACTACAACACGAAGAAATCATTCTCCTATCTCACTTCTTCTTCTTCTTATTTTCCCTTCCCTCGCACAATCACTTGCCGGAAGAAGCAGCAGTCCGAAGATGGCGAGATTTCCCTCCCCCAAATGGGTCGCAGGTACGGTAGACGACTAATATTTTGTTAATTGAGAAAAAAACCAAATCTGGAAGGAGAGGAATTAAGGGACCAATTTGTTTGTAATGGATGAGGTTAACTATACATAACTGTGAATGAAGGGAGGTCATATTGAGGAGCAGTGAAATGGCACTTCTTGGAGCCATTTTCAGTTTCAGGTTTGTCCCATTGCTTCTCTCACTTTCTTTTGTTCAATTCGCTTTTATAAATTGTTACTGAGTTCTTACTTTGTGAGCTTAAAACCAAATGCTTTAATGAGAAGAAGAAGATGATGATGAAGAAGAAGAATAGATAAATACTCTTTATTTTGTGAGCATAAATCAATGATTGATTATTGAAAATGTTTTAGCTTTCCACACATTATGGAAAAAATCACGCATTAAACTTCTCTTAATTCTTCCTTTCTATGAAGCTTTGAGCAGTAAATGCAGCAATGCATCTAGGGTCTAGCGGAAACAACCTCTCTGCTTTTACAGGGGTAAGACTGAGTACATCTTGACCTCTCGGGCTCCAACAAAGTTGGGATTAGAATGCATTGTTGTTGTTGTTGTAGAAGGTGTCTAGCCTAAACACATGTGTTGTTCAGAATGAGAAGTTAATTGAGTTAGAAATGAATAATAGGAGTAATTTGATATGGGTAAGATGTGTGTGGTTTTGGAACCTTGTGCAGTGGGACTAAGCCAAACTACTTGGGAGTGCAGAAGAGCTTTCCTCATGGCGGCGCTTTAGC